CTCTCACACACACATACACACACACACACATATATATAAAGTCAACAAATTTAAAGAATTAAATATAGTGTAAAGTTCTGTAACTATAAGTGAATCAAACTATAATTTGGTAATAGAAAGACAACAAGAAAATCTATAATATCTAGAATTTAAACAACACACATCTAAATAATCTATGGGTCAAAGTGAAAGTCTTGGGGAAATTTAAGAATTAGAGAGAACTAACTGAAACTAAAAACACAACAGATCAAAATCTGTATGATGCAGCTAAAGCAGTGCTGACAGGGAAAATTATAGTAACAAATGCTCACATTAAAAAGAAAGATTTGTTCCAGGTATGCAAGTCTAGTCCAATTTTCTAAAATAAATCAATGTAATCCACCATATCAAGCAGCTAATGAAAAAACCATATGAGCACATCAACTGACACAGAAAAGATGCTGACAAAACTCAACACCCAATTATGGTTTTAAAAAAAGAGAGAGAAAGAAAGGAAAAAACACAACAACAACAACAAAAACCCTCTTAGTACATTAGGAAAGAAAAGAATTTCCTCAGTCTCATAAAGAGCATCTACAAAAAACTAACAATATCATACTATAGTGAAAGATTGAACATTTTCCCTTTAAGATTGAGAACAATGCCAATCTTACCATTCTCATACTCACCACTGCAATAAGGCAAGAAAAAAAAATTAGATGTACAGATTGGAAAAGAAGAAATAAAACTGTCCTCATTGCAAATGACATGATTGTCTACATAGGAAATCTCAATAATTTTATTTTTTAAAAACTCTGAGAAGTAACAGATAAATTCAATAAAATAACAAGGTATAAGATTAACACAGAGAAAATGCATTTACATGTACTGACAATAGATAAGTGGAAATCAAAATAAAAACTCAGTACCATTTACAATTGCTCCAAAGAAAAGGAAACAGGTATAAATTAAGAAAAGATGTGCAAGATCAGCATCATGAAAATTATTTTAAAAATCAAAGGAAACCAAAATAAATACGTTTTGGGACTAGAAGGCCATTCTAAAATGTGGATGTCAAAGCACCACATGAAAAAGCAATTGAAGTCCTAGAAAATAGAAATGTAACTTTATTCCAATAAAGCTGGAGGAAGAAGAGGGGAAAATGTATATGGGAAAAAAATGGCCACAGAATAGCCAGAACAATCCAAACTTACACCTGCAATAATCAAGACAGTGTGGTACTGGTGGAGGAACAGACATATTACCAATGGGACAGAATAGAGAACCCAGAAATATACCCCACAAATATGTCCAATTAACTTTTAACCAAGGAGCAAATGCAGTTCAACTGAGGAGGGATAGTCTTGTCGATAAATGGTGCTGGCCCAATGGGACATTCATAGGTTTAAAAATGAACCTTCACTTAAAACTCTCACACAAATACAAAAAATAACTCAAAGCCTGGCACAGTTGCTCACACCTGTAATCTCAGCACTTTAAGAAGCCAAAGCAGGAGAATCTCTTGAGGCCAGGAATTCAAGACCAGCCTGGGCAACATAGCAAGACCCTAATTCTACAAAAAAACTTTAAAACTTAGCCAGTTATGGTATTGCACACCTGTAGTCCCAGCTACTTGGGAGACTGAGGCGAGAGGATCACTTGAGCCCAGGAGTTTGAGGCTGCAGTGAGCTGTGATCATGCCACTGCACTCCAGCCAGGGTGACAGAGTGAAACCTTGTCTCAAAGAAAAAAATAATAATAATAAAACTAACTCAAAATAGATCCTGGTCTTAAAAGTAGAACTGAAAAGAAAAATAAGAAAACCAATCTTTGGACTCTGGAATTATTGCAACTAAGCAATAAGTTCTTAGACTTGACAGCCAAACCACAGTCTATAACAGAAAAAAACTAGCCCAGCACGGTGACTCATGCCCATAATCCCAGCACTTTGTGAGGCCAAAGTCGGTGGATCACTTGAGGCCAGGAGTTCGAGACCAGCCTGGCCAACATGGTGAAACCCCGTCTCTACAAAAAATACAAAAAAATTAGCCAGGCGTGGTGGCACACGCCTGTAGTTTTAGCTACTTGGCAGGCTGAGGCAGGAGAATCACTTGAACCCAGGAGATAGTGTTGGAATGAGCCGAGATCAGGCCGTTGTACTCCAGCCTGGGCAACAGAGGGAGACTCTATCTCAAAAAAAAAAAAAAAAAAGGCTGGCACTGTGGCTCACACCTGTCATCCCAGCACTTTGTCTCCAAAAAAAAAAAAAAGAAAAGAAAAATTGCAAACTAGACTAAGAGAAAATATTTGCAAACCACATATCCAACAAAGTCTTCATAATATATAAAGAACAGTCACAGCTCAACATTTACAAAAACAAACAATTCAATTAGAAAATAAGCAAAAGGCATGTACAAACATCACACTGAAGAAGATACACAGGTGGCAAATAAATACATGAAAAGATAATGTCCAACATTATCATCATGAGAGAAATTAAGTTGAAAGCACAGTAAGATATCGCTGCACACCAATAGACCACACCCTGTCATAGGCAGGGGCACGTGGACAGCTATGACAGAAGGGCCTTGGACCACCAGATGTGTAGAGCAAGCCGTGTAGGGAGACCTGCTGAAAGACTGCCAGGAAACGGATGTGCTGCATGGGGAGGCAGCCTCTGGAGGTCTTGGGCTGCCACACTGCTCGTGGAATACAGGGACTGCCCTCCAAGGCCCTTCCTGAGACCCTGCCGCACTCCCTTCTGTGTGTGGCTGGTTTGTGTGTGGTGGCCTCTGCTTTTTGTTTCTACAAGGGCAGAAACCATGTCGAACTGGCCTCTTTACAGGACTTTTAAAATCCAGAGATGGCTTTTTGTAGAGAAGGAGAGGTTTTTTTCTAAATGACTAATAATAATGACCATTAATTAATAAAAATTAATAAATCTTTGCTAATTATGTAGTTTTCGAAGGTTGAACAATTTTACACAAAAAGTGAACAAACCCTAGAATAACAGAGAAGCCCATTAAAAATAATTGGCATTGTATTTTATTTTTTAATTAATGACTGTTAACTAATTAAAGCACATTGAATTTATTAAATCTATAATTGCAAAGTAATAGTAAAAAGGGGAAAAGAGAAACTAAATAAATTCAGTGGACACCACTGGAAGTTACTAAGGGAAGAGCTCATTACTAAGAAAGTTGATCATTACAGAAATAGGATTTATCTTAGGCGGGCAGTGGGCCCTGGTGGGTATTAAAATCACTAAGAGAAAAGGTGGCAGGGAGCTGGGCACCTTTCTCCACCACCTCAACTCCCTGGGCATTCTCCGCACCCCTGACAGCGGACGTCCAGACACAGGGTCCTCCTCCCGGACGCAGCCCAGACCCCTGCCCACCTGTGAAGCATGGGCGCCCCAAAATGGAACCTGCAGGCTTCATATCTCAATTGTAGTCTGTAGGAAATAGGATAGAGCAGCTAATTAATCCCATGAGGAACCCAGCAGCTGAATCAGGGTATAGAACATTCTACAGAACAACAGAACAGGATTTGTCAACTAGATGGTGGTGTGCTAAAGACTTCGCCTGGTCTGAGGACGCCACCGTTAGAAGGGCCCTTGGCTGGCTTCGGGGTGCTCAGCTTCGGGACTGTTCCCTCGTTACCGAGGAGAAGGCTGTCTTGTGGGTCTGGGCAGTGTGTTCTGGGCATGGTCTGCATGCCCAGACTGTATAAAATGTAATTTATAAATGGTGTGCACCTGCTTGCCTTCTGGGAGTCAGGATCTTGGTAAGCTGAGGGTGACCATGTAATCGGCCCCACAAAAACTCAGGCTCCGACAGGCTGCCCGGGGCAGAAACACTGCACGGGGCTGTCTCTGGCTGCTGGAGGGAGGGGCGTGCTCTGTGTGGGCCCTCCCAGGAGACGAGATCTTTCAGAAGCCCGCTCCTGGGTTCCTCCAGGCTCCGCAGGTTTCCACTGCCAGACATGGCAGTAAACCCCAGCCCAGAGGACAGCTGCCCCTGAGCCTGCGAGTTCCTGTGTCAAATCACAGGGTGGTCATGGGAACCGTGAAACAACAGTAATATTGATTTAAAAGAAAACGGATAGAAAACGGAGGGAACAAAACTGTTCTAGAACAGAAGAGATGTAAGAGATAACAATCCCGTGAGTGGCCCTTGTTAAGAGGTTAAGGGCTCAACTTACTGGGGTCATTGTTCCTCAGCAGGTAGACTCAACCACCACAGGCAAAATTCTGGAACTTTCCTGGTCACTCCTCCAGCCTGCCATCTCCTCAACATCCTCAGGTATTTCTCAGACCTATCCCAAGTTCACTAGGACGCACCTCTAACCGTCATGTCATGCACTGACCTTCCGGGCTCCTGTCCGTGTTGTGAGGAAGTTTGATTTCATAGTTAAATCAACAATGGACCTGCCCAGCCCAGGAAGGGTCTGCACCTTGCTTCATGCTGTTGAAGGCACAGCCACACTTAGAACTTTCCAGAAACATCACATTGACTGGACTTAAGATCACATGTGGAAATGCCCATGAGCCAAGTTGGCAGACAGAACAGATAATCAGATAATCCCTCTGGGCACACAGCCCCAGGCCATCCATGTCCCCTCACGCACACAATCCCACGGTGCAGGTGGGCACACATGAGTGTACTCATCACACAGGTGCAGACTCTGAGTCTCAGAGGAGACTGCGACTCTTGTTCCCTCATGGTCACACTTGGAGTGAGCAGCGGAGAGAGGGTAGAAAATCGAATGCACATTCTGTTTTCTCAGGTACACTTCCGCTCCTAAAACCCATCCTTCTCATGTCAGTTGCCAAGATTCAGCAAATATTCCTGTATGGTTCCCTTTCTACCTAGAGAGAGGGACACGCTAATCTTCAGGAATGACGACACTAGTCCAGTTTGATTTAGGAGTCAGGTCCGAGCCCATCCAGAGTGTCTTGGAGGTCTCAAGCCTCCCTGACGGTGGACCCAGACAGATCGGGGGGCAGGTGTGAACGTTACCTCGAATATGATCAACGCGTAGACGCCCGCGAGGATGGCCGTGGCGATGGTCACTTGGGCTTCTACACTTGCGCGGAGGTACTGATAAGCCATCAAAAGCGGGACAGCCTGGGTCTGCTGGAGGGAGGCCCGGATGCTGATGGACACCATCTCTCTGCAGAACAAAACGACGACCTTACTGTTCACAAGGTCAACAGTTAGGGCACCTCCCTCTGTATCAGCCAGACATTAACCAGAATCCAAATGGATCTCAGAACGATTCAGCCCAATGCCCGATCGCACAGCTGGAAGAGCAGTGAGCACAGGCCAGCGGCGTGAGACACAGGATGCAGCCTCCCTGTGGCCAAGCCGAGCCGGTCCAAGCAGGCCCCTCAGCCTCCCTGTGACACCACCTGACAGTGAAGAGTGAGTAGGGGCCTGCACAGAAGACGTCAGCCATTGAACTGGCTCTTCCTCCTCCCCAACATACCCAACCACTTCACCTGCTAACTAAGAGCAAAGCCAGCTGTTTGAACTCCAGTCCCTGAGAGTGAGGAGACATGCTCCAGACGAGAAGCCTGCAAGTGACCACAGGTCGGCGGCGGACACCAGAGCGTTTTTTCAAGTTCAGTCAATATGTTTTATGGGCTAAATTGTGTCCCCTTCCTCCAAAAACCATTCCTAGGTTGAAGTCCTAACCCCGAGTACCTCCAAACGGGACTGTAGGTAGAGGCAGGGTCTTTAAAAAGGTGAGGAAGGTTAAATGAGGCCATGGGGATGAGTCCTAATCCAGTAGGATGGGTGTCCATACAAGGAGAGATCAGGAGACAGGCACGGAGGGATGGCCACCTGTAAGCCAGAGGAGAGGCCTTGGGAGAAACTGACCCTGTTGACACCGTGACCTCAGACTTCCAGCCTCTAGAATTACAAGGTAATTGTCTGACAGTGAAGCCACCCAGTGTGTAGTACTACGGTACGGCAGCCTTAGCTGTCTAATACACCAACCAAGAGTACCGACTGAATATGAAGCAGCATTAGTTAAGGAATAAGAAACCTAAATTTCCTAGAACTCTCCACTGTACAGCTTCACAATATTAATGAAATTGGAACATCAACCAAAACTGCCATTTGTTTCAAAATGACTTCTGCAGTCAACCCTCTTACATCCTGACACCCATGGCTACGATGCCTTCTCACAGCCTTTGAGTTCACTGTCTACACAGCATGAGCACCGTGTCCAAGCCACATGCTGACCTGGTGCTGCGTGGGCCGAAACTCAGTGTCCTGTAGGTCAGACTCCTTTAAACGCGCGCGTCCCGGAGAGCCTGCCCCAACATCTCACTGAGAACTCACCTGCCCAGTACCTCAAAGGTCCTGCTCATCACCAAGCGCTCGCTTCTCCTTGGATTTAAATACACCGTCCAGTTGTGAGTGACCTGTACAAGCCAAAGCATAAAGTTACGGTGAGGCTTTTCACCTGAGACACCATCTGGGATCTGGCACTGCTCGCTCTAGGTATTTGTTTGAAATAAGAAAAGGAGAAAGAAAGAAACGGGAGCATCTTTATTTGCACTCTGATGTTAGGAGCTACTGCTCCTATGTTAGCTCTGATGTTAGGAGCTGGGAATTCCCACCATTTGGAGAGCTTTCTTTAAAAAAAAGGATTCAAAAGAAAAAATGCAGAATTAGTGTACAAAAGTGCAAAAGGCATAGAAGTAGTGATTTTATGCAAGAAAAACAAATCACGCCCAGACGCGGTGGCTCACGCCTGTAATCCCACTTTGGGAGGCCAAGGTGGGAGATCACTTGAGGCCAAGAGTTCAAGATCAGCCTGGGCAACAGAGCAAGACCCCTGTCCGCACAAAAAAATTTTAAAAATTAGCCAGGCCTGGTGGCATGTGCCTGTGGTCCCAGCCACTGAGGGGCAGAGGCAGGAGAATCCCGTGAGCCCAGAAGTTCAAAGTTACAGTGAGCTGTGATCACACCACTGCACTCCAGCCTGGGCAACAGAGTGAGATCCCCAACTCTAAAAATTTTTTAATAAAAATTATTTTAATTTAAAAAATGAATCACTACAAGTTACTAGAGACTTAGAGGACTCTTCTGAGCTCTCTGAGTCCTGAGAACTGCTTCTGCAACTGCTTGCAACCTGGAGGCAACAAACCCACGCCCAGCAAACCTTCCACACCCCTGTGCACAGGAACCCCTGCAAGGAAGGGCCCCAGGGTGAAGCTTCATTCCCTGCCTTGCATGTTCTTGCCCCTGGGGTACAGGACAGTGATCAGCTAGGGAGGCAGCCTGGGGAGGGAGGGGGATCCTCAATGGGAAGATGCGAATCTCACCCACAAATCACAACGGACACTGAAAACAGGATCTCTGAAACTGGTCAAAGCAAAGAAGCACATGCATGAGAGAACAGAAGTTCTTTTAAGTACCTCAGTGTTTGCAAAGAGCGTGTCTGGGGGAAAAATCCTTTAGTAAAGATCTCTTGTGTTTCCCATGTTTCTGGGGCTGGATTTGCCTGTGGGCAATCTGGGTCAGCCCGTTAGGAGGGGCCACCCCGAGAGCAGGGAGGTGCCACACAGATCATTTAACCTGGGTTATTAATATGGCAGGGAGGTGCCACACAGATCATTTAATCTGGGTTATTAATATGGCAGGGAGGTGCCACACAGATCATTTAACCTGGGTTATTAATATGGCAGGGAGGTGCCACACAGATCATTTAATCTGGGTTATTAATATGCAAGTGCTGGGGAGGCAGCGGGACCGCAGGCTGGGTGAGGTCCTGCCCGTCTCCATGCAAGGCCCAGGTCAGAGGGCAAAGGCCATCGCTCATCACCAAGGAGCCCCTTGCCAAGGGGCTCTGCTCTTCACACGAGGAACCAAGTTGACATCCTAAGACCCTGGCCAGGGCAGCCGGGTCAGAACATCGGTGTTGCGTCAGCCATGGTTCAGGACACTGCATGCTAGTTCATAACGAGACCTTAGCTCTGTGGACCATGCTCTGCAAGGCAGGAAAGGTGAGGGTGCATTCATTCCTCTCACGCTCCATTGTAGGTGATGCAGCCTGCGCATGGGCGGGGTTTCCTGCTACTGGTTATAAGGGAACATCCATGAACCGGGGCTATGACTTCCACGCAGAAGTCACCGTGATAATGCAGAGTGGAGTCTCCCAGGCCAGGGCTCGGGGGCCAGGCTTGCATGGAAGGGGCTCTGCCTCTGGAGTCTAGGCTCTGGGCTGCCACAACAGACACCGCTCCCCAGCTGCCTTTGCAGGATGTGAATGAAGGCTTGACAAGGCTCAGAGACAAGGCTGTGCACAGGCCTACACAGATGCAGCAGCTCAGAACTTAGGCAGGTGTCCACGAACACAGTAACTGTGCTGTGGAACTGTCTTCTGAACCACGACGTAAGGCCCAGACTTAACTGCACTTTTACACCAAAAAAAAAAGTTTTTTCATTTCAAATGTATATTTCCTGAACGGCCTGGCAAAACAGTTTTGAATAAAGAACTTGCAAGCCTGATTTTACTGAAATGGCAAAAATTTTATAAATAGAGAAATGGTAACAGAGAATTTCAAAGACAAAGCAAAAGATAAGAAGAGCCAATGAATTGACTAAGAATGGTGTCCTCGCCTGTGGCTCCCCATCAAATCCACTCAAGAGGAAACACAATTTATTATGAGATGAAATGAGATTTCACAATCCTTTCAAATAAATTATCAGCATCACCTGCTGTGGCCGCCGCCACCTGGAGCCCAAAGTGTCGGCCTGGGTCAGCTCCACCAGGAGGCGCTCTTCCCTCCCAGAACGGCTGGGCCCGCCGGCCACGAGGGCCCCGGCCAGCTCCACCTGCAGCAGCGTGGAGTCCCCGTGGCCGCTGAGGTTCGCGGCTGGGGGAGTGTCAAGGAGAACCGTAAAGCAGGCAGGAGGAGCCCCATGTTCCCACCGCCCGCCAGACGCACACCCTCCTCCGACAGCCACCGCCCACCAGACGCACACCAGCCACCGCCCACCAGACGCACACCCTCCTCCGACAGCCACCGCCCACCAGACGCACCACCTCCTCCTGGCTGACAGCCACCGCCCACCAGACGCACACCCTCCTCCGACAGCCACCGCCGGCCAGACGCACACCCTCCTCCGACAGCCACCGCCGGCCAGACGCACACCCTCCTCCGACAGCGCGCGAAGGAACACGTTTCCCCAGGTGCCCCGTGCCCTCAGCCATCAACACGATCTTCCTGCCTTTCCCCCTGCCCACATCTCAGCCTTCATTCCAGACCTAACTCCCCTGAAGCAGGTCGTGACCCTGTATGGAGGCGCCCCCCACACCGGGGAAGGGTGCATCCTTAGCTCCAAAGGGAGGGAGGCCGAGAGGGACCTGAACGGACAGGCCTCGCCAGGGCCCCTCCCGGCCCGTTTCCTGCGCTTGCTCATGTGCTCTTGTCCGATCACACCTTTCACGGCTCTCCACTCTTCATCAAACCTAGCAGCAGAACCCCAAGCTCAGCTGTTTCTTGTCAGGCAACACTTCCATGAAACACATGAGTGTGCCTTTTTCTTGTTAACCTGTCCTTCGTGTCTACTCTGCAGGGCCCCGCCTGGAGACGCTAAGAGGGCGGGGAAAGTGTTTTCTCCTCCCCTCTGAATCACAGTCTCCTCCACATCCTCTGAGAGCCCAGGTTGCCACGCTGGGTGTGATACAAAATGCATCACCTGGGAAAAAGGAAAGACGGGAGGGGAAGGAGGGAGAGAAGGGGGAGAATGGGGAGAAGGGAAGGAGAGAGAAAGGGAGAGGAGAAAGAAGAGGAGGCAGCAAAGAGTAGAAAGGGAGGGAGGGAGGAAGGGAGGGCGCCCATAACTGACCTGCTTGTAGAAGTTTGCTGGCTTCTGTTCATTTGCCCATTGCCCTGGGAGCCTCTGACAGGCCTCCCGCAGACAACCATTCAGGGACAAAGAACTTCAGGTGCTGCAATTACAGGCTTCTAAAATAGACCCTGCAACTACGGAACCCACACAGCCCGACTGTGCTGCGGGAGGCACTGAGGCTCCGAAAGAAAGGTGGCTTTGCTATTCACCAGCTAAAGGAGAGTGGTGCTTTCTCCAGAAGCTCTCTCCTCACAGCAGCCACCCCCAGTTTCCCTCACCCAGGCTCCTCCAGAGGACAGGCCAGAGGGCCAGGAGGCGGCCTCAGAGCTCCCTGCTCAGACAACAGCCCTGAGGATGTTGCTCTGGGCCTTTCCAACCAGCCCGAGGCCCCTCCTACCTCACGTCTACACTGCGCGCCCTTTGTCTGACAATCACCTTGTCGGGGGCGGGGTCCAGCTGGCTTCCCCTCCTCCCCAAGCAGACCTCAGGCCTGCAGCCTTCACAAAGCTCAGGGTCTTTCGAGAAGGTCCGTGAGTTTCCAGAAACCATTGTTAATCCCTGGGAACGCTGCCCTTTTCCAAGGAGCCTGCTGGAGGCTCAAATCACCCCCATCGTGGCTGGTGACCCATCTTCCCCACTGCGGCCTTCATCTCTCCCAGGCTCTCTCTCCCTCTTCATCCAAATTCAAAGGCCACGCAGGGAGCAGGCGAGAACTCCCTGCCCCCACCCATCCCCACCCCCTGCCAAGAAAGGCAAGCTGGCCTGCCCCTGCGGGGATGCACTCAGGCCGCGGGGTCCCGCGTGGGCCTGGGGCACTCAGGCTGCTCGAGAAGGAACTCGGCAAAATGCCTTAGAACAAAGGGGGCACCCTGGGTCCCGGGTGGGATGAACAGAGGGCTGAGGCTATCGTCCCATCCTGGTGCCCTAAGCTGTCGTGCTGGCCTCTGGGATCTCCACTGACTGACCAGGTTCGGTGCCAGTGTTCCCCGAAATCTCCCCCTCCTGCCTGAGTCCCACTGAGGACGGTTTCTGGACAGGATCCCGCCTCCCCCTTCAGGCTGCTCCATCTCCCCTGCCCCCTGCGGGAAGTCGTGCCCAGGAGGGTGGCGTGTCCTGGGAACTTCATGAGGGGGGCCAGGAACACGGGGCACGTCTTGCCTTTCTTCATCCTGGGGAAGCGACGCAGAGGTCGAGGCCCAAGAATGAGAAACAAAGTCTGTCAGCATCGCACAGCTCGGTGGTTCTCTCACATGGAGATCCTTTAAGGCTCAGGCACAGTTTTAAAGTAATGAAGAAAATACAAACACGTGCACACGCGCTCAGCTGACATCAGCACCGCCCTGACCCCAATGGAAGTGGGAGCTTCTAAAACTGTGGGTGCCTCTGTCCACGGGGCAGAGGGAAGCACAAACCATGACCAGTGCGCCCCCCGACCCACCAGAAAGCCTCCAGCGCCAGGCCTTTCTGGAATGCTGCTGGGCAGGTCGCTGGCTGAGGAGAGGGTGTCCTGGGAAGATGTAGTGAGACTGCCAGAAGGACCACAGAAACCAAGGCTACGCAACCGATGACAGCAACTGCAAGGAAAGCAAGCCAGTTTCCTAAAATTTCAGTTCACTGAGGCTATCAAGTAAGTAGACTAAAGAAAAAAACATCTTGCCATTTAGCTAACTAAATTAATTCCTTTTTAAATAATAATCATCAAAAATATTTGGCCTGATCAGAGCACCGCATCGGAGGGTCCCACCTCTCCAGGACCCTCCCCGGACGCCCGCCACCCTAGCAGCACCGGGGGCTTCAGGGACCTTCATGCACAGACACCTGAATGACCACGTTCATTCCAAAAGAGGCTCTGGACCCTGCCGGAGAGCTGGGAAACAGTGCTCCCACCCTTTCACCCAGAAAAGGCTGGGCGGACATCAGTTAACCGCCCACTCCTGATCCCAGAATGAGGCCGCAGCAGAGACAACTCGCCTGAAATCTAGAGGAAAACAGGTGACTGCAGGGAGAGGCGGCTTCCCTGGGACAGGTGCCAGCCCCACATTTCGGAATCAGGCAGGATTCAACCAGAAAATGTACACATTGCTCAAGGTCGAGTGTGAGCTCACATGAGCAGGGAGCCCCTGAGAGCCATAGATGGAGGTGTTCACATCTTCTCACAGGCTTTTCCTCCAGGAACCCCAGCGGACGCTCCTCAGGAAGACAGGAAGCCTGGGGAAGATCCCGGGAAAGCATCCCCCAGTGATGCCAAGCTTCACCCTCTCCCGCTGCTTCTATCTCCCCTAAGGAGCAAAGGCCCTCATTTGCTTGGGAAGTGCATCAGAGGGTGCAGTGGGAATTCCTGCAGCTAAGAGAAGGCAGGAGGGGAAAAAAGTAGCTCTTACCCCAGGGGGAGGGGTGGGCATAGAGCATGGTCTAGCAGACAGCTGGCAGGGCGCCCGCAATTCTGAGTGTCCAGTGCACCGCAGGTTGCCACAGCAACCGCAAACCTCAACACAGCTGAATTCTTGCTAGATTTACATGAACCCTCCAACTAATGCCTGCAGAAGTCAAGGCATGCTCATCTCCAAGCTTAAACACCACTGGCCTCTGTGTCTACTATCCTACAGGATGTGTATGACTTCTGACGAAAAATTCTGAGGCATGCAAGATGGCCAGAGCAAGCACAGCAGGAGGCGCTGCGGCAGTCACCAGAGCCGGGTGACACAGCCAGGATGGCATGAACTGGAAGATGGGCCACGTTGAACGCACAAGAGATGGGGGGGAAAGGAGTATCCGGGAGCTAGGGAAAGCCAGGTCCTGGCTGGAATGTGCCCTGCTCTCCCCATTCCTCGCTCGGAGAGCTCCACCACCAACCCCGCCACCACCAACCCTGCCACTGTCTCCCTGGAGCTCCCCGCCCCTCTGTCCTGAGACCCCATCTCTCATCAAACGTCTGGAGAAACAACATTCAGGTGGGTGCGAATGGTAATGGCCTGTGCTGTGGCCTTCAGCAGCAGTCACAACCGTCCGTGAGTGTCTCCTTGCGTTTCAGATCTCAGCCAGGCGGCCGGCCATCTCAGAGTGGATTTTGGATACAGTAGTTCTCCAGCGGTGACAAGGCCAACAGCTGCCAGAGCTTTCCTTGATCCGGATATAGGCTGAACAAAATCTGTAAGAATCAGAAACGTCGAATGACGGAGGTGTGGTATGAGAGCAGGAAGGTAGAAATCATTCTGATAACAGTCGAAAACGGATGTGATGATGGGGCTACTGTGTGTATCCAGAACGCAGCAGCTTACTCTGAATAGCTTTGTCTTAAATATTTAAATATTCTGATTCATTATTCTGATTCATTACAGTGTTCAGCTACAATGGGCTCTGATTATTGATAACTGCCAATTTTAAGGATTAAATGCCTGGCCATAAAATTAAATCATCAAAGAGGGACAAATGTGGTTTTCTCACATTGGAGAATAAAGGAATATGACCCCTCTAATGGTTAGAGCACGTGTTTGTGGTAGTAGGTGTTTGTGAAATTTGCAAAGCACCTTATACACCATCAAAAAGTAAATTAAACTGATGATAACATGAGATTATAGAAGTTCAAATCATTCCTCAAATTCCATTTTGGATATATCCACAAATCACCTAAAGTCCATCTCACAGAAGAAGGCTAAGACTGGATACAGCTCAGGTCAGCTCTTAGGGACCAGGGGAGACCTGGCCCACCCAGCCTGGTTCCTTTGAAATCTTAGAGCACCTGCCAGGCCCTGCTGAGCAGTGGGGCTTCAGAACCACACATTCATGTGAGTAGGAAGTGGCAAGGCAAATTGGTAGCCAAAAATATCAAATCGTGAAGCTTTCAGAGCTCAATGTAATTGGTTTTCCTTTTCTAGCACAGGTTTCCTTTCTCCGGGTCACAGATCTCCTCCCTCACGGGTTGGTTATTAAGAAGTTGACTGTACTCAGCTCAACGCAATCAGCACTGACTTCATACACCACCCTGCTGTCCTCATGTTGCAGCTGAGAGCTGACCCAGGGCCACAGACATTCCTGCACGCACACAGAGCCACAACACACATGTCACGCCTGCAGGTCATGAAACAGCCAGCAACAGCCACACATATCATGCATGGGGGCCCTGTCACCAGGGCAGGCTGCATGGGAGAGCACATCATGGAACACAGCTCAGACCCACCCTTGCCCACCACCACAGTCACACCCCCATCACAGCAGCACCCACCACCCACTGTGGTCTCCCAACAACTGCCCATGCACACCATCTTAGAGCAACACTCAAAAGTGGCACTCACCCAAAACAACTCCGCAAAGCACAAGCACAACCTATCATGGTCACAGACCACAACCTACACAGCTCACACAGGTGCACACACAGAGACACACAGCAGGCACAGGGGACCACACACAACCTACACAGACCACAACCTACAGCCTGGCCACAGGTGCACAAATACAGAGGACACACAGCAGTACAGGGGACCACACACAACTACACAGGCTCACACACTGGTGCACACACACAAACACAGAGCAGGCACAGGATCACACAACCACACGAGAGACATACACACAGTCACAGACAGGAGACCACACACCCACCTGCACACACACACACACACACAATGAGACAGCACATTCACACACCCACCTGCACTCACACAGACACACAACGAGACGGGGCATCACACACTCACCTGCACACACAGACACACAACGAGAGACAGGGGAATTCACACACCTCACCTGCACTCACAGACACACAACCAGAGAGTAGGGGCCACATACTCCACCTAGACATTACCACACAGACACACACAACCAGACAGTAGACCACACACCCACCTGTACACACACAGACACACAACCAGAGACAGGAGACCACACACCCACACGCACACACACAACCAGAGACGGGACCACACACCCACCTGCACACACACAGACACACAACCAGAGATGGGGACCACACACCCACCTGGACACACACAGATACACAACCAGATGGGAAACCACACACCCACCTGTACACACACAGACGTGCAACCAGAGACAGGGGACCACACACCCACCTGCACACACACAGACACACAACCAGAGACAGGGGCGACACACTTACTCATTGGGCAAATGTATTTGGAGTGCCACTATGTGATCCTGACTCAGGCTACATCAGGCCACAGAGCACACCAAGGCTGGCAGTGGGACTCATGGCTGTCACCTCAGAGGGCACAGAGGTGTCCCTGTGGCCCTGGCTCCCTGCTCGGGCTCCTGTGCCTTTCCCCTGGTGGGTCCATCTGCTGGGACCCCTCCAGTGAAGAACAGCACCGCCCACTGCCATGGGCTCACCAACGCAGCCCTCGCCCTCCCCTCGTTCCCACACCATGTTCCCTACGAGGGCATCTGACGTTGGTTTGGCTCCAGAATGTGTCTGTTGTGAATGTTCATGTATTTGAAAGGATGGAAACGTCTGGGCAAATAAAATCAGAGACACCTCCCCAGAGGGGGAAAACTTCAGAGCTTCAACACACACCGCTGGACAGAGGCCCAGCACACAATCTCAAAGGCACTGAGGCACTCTGGGCTATCCACGATCTCCAGATGTGTCCCAACACACATGAAGAGTGCTACTGTCCGGGGCTGAACAGGGAAGTGGGAAACCACGCGAGGAGGGAAGGGAGCCCCACAGCCAGCTACCCAGCCTTCCACATGGCCACACCATGCTGCCCAGCTTCTGCTGTGTGACTGGGACCACAGCAGAGGGCACAGCTGCGGCCCTCGACCCCCTCAGCCCGCTGCCCCATAACCCTCGCATCTCCTCCAAAGAAAGTCAGATAATCAGGTGAAGAGGGCTAGGCGCTAAGCCCCACATCTCAGGTTCCCCCTGCTATACAGCCAAAGGCACACAGGGCTTCCACAGACCCAACAGCAGTGCTGGGGCAGCCACGGTACTCACAGAGCACAGCACCACGAAGACAAACAGGCCCGTGACTTTCAGCCACTGTACACAGCGCCTGCAAGAGAAAAGGTAGGATCTTAGTGGCAAGGGCAGCAGTCCTGTTGCCCAGACTCAGACACCTTTCTGCAGCCTTGAGGAACTTCCACCTCAAGGCATGTGTTTTGAATTCTTTCCATAACGTGATATGAGGGAGAACACCCTCATATCAGTGACCAGTAAACCTACAGCCCCATCCAAAGGAACATGGTGGAGGTTCCAGAGGAGAACAAAGTTCACCAAAGTGTTTGCACATAGCTTGTTGTTCAGGAAACTAAAGTTCAAGATTTGAGACTCTTTGATAGCTGTTTAAAGCCTCCCGTTTCCTGGAAAAAAAGTAAACTGAATGCCTTATCTTGTCTGATTCATATTTATCAATTATGTTCCCCTAACTTTTCTGAAAGGTAGGAATACAGATTGATCATCAAATACAAAAACAAATAAGAAAGAAATTGTTATGCTGTTACTGGTTGTACCAGCAGAGTATCTTAAGAATTCCTTAGGCAGGAGGCTGACACAGGTGGATCACGAGGTCAGGAGATCGAGACCATCCTGGCTAACACGGTGAAACCCCATCTCTACTAAAAAAACCAAAAAATTAGCCGGGCGAGGTGGCAGGCGCCTATAGTCCCAGCTACTCGGGAGGCTGAGGCAGGAGAATGGCGTAAACCCGGGAGGCGGAACTTGCAGTGAGCTGAGATCCGGCCACTGCACTCCAGCCTGGGCAACAGAGTGAGACTCTGTCTCAAAAAACACAAAAAAAGAATTCCTTAGGCAATAACTTAATTAACCATCAAGCCACACGCTCGGCCCCTACCGAGGACTTCCAAAGCCATTCCAGCCCCCTCACCATTATCCATTTCTTAACCATGACCCCCGGGCCCTACATGAACCGGGGCCTGGCCTGCACTCTGCTGCCCTTCTGTTCCACCAACATCCTTGCTGCACCCAGACAGGACCACAGGGCCTTTGCCCTGCCAGGATGCTCCCTGACTGCAGTCCTCCCGTCATGCCCATCTCTGTTCACTCAGCAGCCAGACCCCATCGCCCAATGGCACCATCACCGCCCAGTCAGGTTGTGCTCTCCCACCAGCTGTTCTGTGAGGGCAGGCACTAGAGCGTTTCTGCTTTGTCCCCACACAGGGAAGGATGCTGGTACATAGCCCATACTTGATGTATGTGTGTAGAATGAAGTAAGAAATTCCATGTTGGAACATCTTTTTAATACTCTCCTCACTTAGTTAAGTTTCATCTGTCTTTGAAAACCTTCTTTCTGATCCTTTGGAAATGGTAAAATCTTGTTTTGCATTCTCTTAGATTTAATGAATTTGATGAATAATCAGTTCACGCTTCCCAATTATGATTCAACAGCTCCTACTTAAATAGGAATCAAAATGACATTTCTTTTTAAAGCATGAAGCATTAATTGAGCTATTCTAAATACAAATTTCTTTCTACATAACTGACATCTGCAGCAGAGCTGACAACCCAAAATAAAAGGTTTTTTACAAGATTCTTCACTGATCACGCATGGTACTTTTTAGACATGTTATAAAGAATGGCGCTAACGTCTTTTCGTTCAGTGGCAAGCTCAAAGGCAAATACTCCATGAATCAGAGAAGATAAAACAAGCACTGAATGCAGAAGTCTCACATGTACTTGATTCTATTTTTCCTCCTTGTGGGACAGCTGAGGACACGGCAGCCTCGGGAGTGGTCACCATTCAGCTGGGGAAAGGCTGAACAGTGTCAGGGTTTGCCATCTGGTTGACCCACGGCGCCAGAACTCCACGCACACAATTTCACCCAACTCCCATAATCTCAGCGGATTCACCGGCCAAATGTTTACTGCACCCACGAGGGGGGCTGAGACCCGTCTCATTAGGAAGAAGCTACATGCGGTTGGGAGTCACAGTGGGAAGAGGCAGCTCCATGTCAAGCAGCGGAGCGAGGGATCTGGGATCGAATCCCTGCCTCTTGGCTTGGCTCAGTGTGGCCTGGCTCAGTGTGGCCTTGGGCAAAAGCCTTACCCTCCCTGAGGCACCCCCCATGAACCTCCCGGGATTGCTGGGAAGATGCATAGGACAGCGGCTCCCCCACGTACCACGGGGAGTCTGAGGCGGGCCTCTCCGCACCCCGGGAGGGGCATCTGGAGCGTGCCGGCGGGTACACTTCCAACCAACCGCGACCATCTTCACAAAAGACGGGTCCCCATGCACAGACGCTAATATTTGATGACTGAGTAGTGTTTTTTCACTTATCTTGGGCTTTCGCACTTACTATCTTAGTGAAGGCCCGCGAGATGCCACAGACCCAGGAGGACATCGTGCGACAGGACACAGCTGCGCGGCCAGGCCAGGCCCTGCCACGAGCGCTCAGCGACCTCAGGACGGATCCACAATGGAAGCCCACAGGTCCTGGCTCCCAAACCTCGTTCTGTCCCGGAAATGCTGCTTTCAAACATGTCCCTCTCAAAAGAACCCTTTCAAATGAACTGGCGCGTGGGAGGAAACCCAGCAGATAAACAAGCTGGCAAGGCGACAGCGCTCCGGCCCGCGCGCACCCTGGGCCTCCCGCGCATGCGCGCCCCAGGCCTGCACCCGCACGCGTATCCCACTCCCACGCCCGCCGTCCCCCTGCGCATGCGCATCCCCGCCCCCCATTCCTCCCACACGCATGCGCACCATCCACTTTCTCGCTACAGCTCCGCTTCCCTAGGCATGGCTCTGTGCTCCGTGTGCCCAAGACAAAGGCTTACACATTAATGATTTTCCAACGGATCGTACGTTCTAAAATGTTTCCAGCCTTAACAGGGTTTCTGGGGCCCACAGCATAGGAGGGAACTGCACCCCTCAGGCTGTGCGCTGAGCCAGACCCATTCCTTCCTCAGTAACTGCAAAGGTGTATCGACTTCGAAACGCCATGGGACCCCTGAAGCAAACAGATCCTATTTGCAAACCTAAAGGCCGTGAAGACCCCAACCCCACGAGCAGGAAGGAGAGGAGTGTACTGTGTCAATCATTTAGGGTTGTCCTCTCAGGCCTGCATGATTTGCAGGCGCCTTAAATGTCTCCCTAGGTCCGGGTGAAAATAAATCACCTTGAAGGAAAAGTACAGCCTGGCCAGATGAGACAAAACTCATCCTCTTCTTCACCCTGCTGGTTTGAAAGATGGAGGGGGCACGCAGGACGCGATGTGTGGCCGCCGCTGCTGCCAGGGTGGGCACCCCACGTCTGCCTACCTCAGCTTGGAAAGACGCAGCCGGACGTGCGGGCTGTCCAGAAGGTCCCCCTTCTCGGAGGAGGCAGACGCAGACAGACCAGACGCCTCCCTGCTCAGCAGGTACCTTCGCTCCCAATCAGCAGAGCCGTCTTCCCAAGACTCTTCGGCAGTGATGAACTCTGGACGGTAAACAGGTATGCACCGTGACCTGGAAAGCAAGAGAGGTGTGGTTATTTCTCCTGAAATAGTAATGGCTGCAAAGCAAGCTTTCCTCTGAGTCCTGCCTGTGTGAAATGGCACCGAATCAACCCTGGCCTTTCAAAGGACCACAGACAGTGGCCCACTCACATACTGCTGGGAATGGTTTTTTGGTGACCTCACAGAACACTTAGGTCAAAGGAAATTTCCTGGAGTCACTAAAGTCTTCAAAATGAATTGTGGGCCTTCAAGAAACCAGCTCTTTCTGAGTTTGGGACTTTGCAAGAAAGCTGTTTCTGGCTCAGACCAGTTCCCGCTGATTTCAGCGTTTGCTTTTTCACTGCAGGCGCTCCAGTAGTCAATACCTAGACGTGTGAGACTTGTCCAGGGTGAGGGGTGTCAGTTTTTCCTCCTCTGTGTAGATCTCCTTCTGCAGTGGAGCTGTAGGGAAGGTGGCGTAGCTGGCTTCCCACACAACAGCCACAGAAGCACGAGCAGGAAGAGGGAGCATTAGTATCTAACTAGACAGGCCAAGAATGGGGCCTGTATCTAGATGCCTCAACGGGAATCATAAACTTTTCTCAGAATTACTTGAAAACACATCCATTTACTTTTGGAATTTTTGTTGTTGTTGTTTTGTTTTGTTTTTCTTGAGACAGAGTCTTGCTCTGTCACCCAGGATGGAGTGCAGTGATGCAATTTCAGCTCACTGCAACCTCTGCCTCCCAGGTTCAAGCGATTCTCCTGCCTCAGCCTCCCCAGTAGCTAGGATTACAGGCACACGCCACCACACCTGGCTAATTTTTGTATTTTTAGTAGAGATGGGGTTTCATCATGTTGGCCAGGCTAGTCTCAAACTCCTGACCTCAAGTGATCTGACTGCCTTGGCCTCCCAAAGTGTGGGGATTACAGTCATGAGCCACTGTACAGAGCCTCCATTTACTTTTGGTTGAATCCATGACCTTCTGATCAATTCCTTCAGTTTAGATGCACTTGACTCTTAAAAGGTTGTACCAAAAGCCAGAATTTTCATGTATCACATAGAATATTCTTGGAATCACAATACTGACGTTAACAGATGTGATCTGTGGTAGACTGGAATGGAGCCAGCTCAATGGGGCACTGTGATACTCCTGAACACTTACAACTGCTTTAGAAGTGGTTCACAAGGAAAAATATTCAGAAGAAGAAGCCCAGAGACGCCAATTAGGCTGTGTATAACCAATGTGTCACAAGATAACACACGACTTTGAAAATAGTCGATAATCCGATCAATTTTGTGACTGGAAAATGCTCAGGTATGTGAGAAATAATATCACACCAACTGCTGAAAAAAACACAACTGTAACAAAATTGGAACAAAAAAAAACTTTTCTTCTAAGAAGAAAGAGGAAAGCAAGTTAATGTCATTGCCTTCTAGAGCAGTGCTGTGCAATAGAACTTTCGGTGGTGATAGAAATGTTCGCTTCCCTGTCCAGTATGGCAGCCACATGTGCTGTTGGTCACTTGAAGTGTGGCTAGTACAACTGAAGAAGTGAATGTTTAATGTTAATTAATTTAAATTTAAATAACCATCTGTGAAGAGTGGCTACCAGTTGTCAGTGCAGATACAGGGCATGCTCTGACCTTTGTACCACACAGTCCTGCCCTCAACACCCTTAAAAGAATACTTCTGAAAACATGTAAATCTATGGATATTATCCTAATAAGCCATTTGATCAGATTAAAACTGCAACAAAATAAAGTTGATAAAAGTAAAGTATGAAAAAGACATTCCTACCACCAATACCTTAATTAGCTTCATGCAAAAAGAGAAAAGGAATACATTTTGTAAGCAAAGCTGACCCATGTTCTACTCCCTTGAAATGGTTTTTGTGACATGAGACCCAGCTCAGCCTCCCAGGGTGTGTCTGTGCTCCGCATGCAAGGAAAAATGCTTACGCATTAATGGTTTTCCAATGAACTGCAAATTCTAAAATGTTGCAGGCCTTCACAATTTACCAAGTAATTCAACAGAAAGCATTAAGGGAATAGGTGTGTGAAGTCTTTGTCTTAAGTTATTAATTAGGAGCAAAGGAGCATAATTAAGTTATCCCCCAGTACAGAAGCTTGAAGCAGCCTCGTCAGTGGAAATGCCTCAGCTTACACTCCTTACCCATCCAGTCACTGAGGGGCTGGTGGCAGGGACTGTGCTAGGTGCCAGGATGCACGATGAAGAGGGCACAGGCTGGCTAACATAACCACAGATAGCACACAGGCCAGTCTGGAAGTAAGGGCATGAATGCGGTGTTTGAGAGCACAGGAGAAACACTGACTCTTGGTGGGTGCGGCAGAAACAACCAAGGGTTCTCAAAGGAAGTGACATTTGAATGCCCTTGACAGGAGTAGGACTGACTGCCCTGGAGAGACAGAGAGGGAAGGAGTTTCCTCTAGTCAAGGGCTTCCTGTGAACAAATCATCTCTGCACTGAGGAGTAATAAATCCAGATGCCTGCATCCCATCCGAATCCTGTGAGCAGGAGTATTTGGAGGCTGAGGACAGGAATGCACATGGCGTGCAAGCCCCGCCTAAAGTGTGAAGCCCGGCCCCCTGCCCTGGCTGCAGACTGGGCTGGGGAGAGAGGAGGCAGCTCCTTGGAAGCTCAGAAGTGAGTGAAGGAGACACAACAGCCTGCCTGTCAATGCAGGTACACACCATCAGTGGGCAGGGAAAGGAGAATCCCTGATGTGCAAATAGGTGACTCACAATCAAAGCTGTTGAAACTTTTTAATTATTTTGAGTCTTAAAAGAATGTGATTATGGGATGAGTCACATAAAAGGCAGCTGTGGCCTTCTTTTCTCTGATTCTAGGTTTGCCTTTTTCCTTACCTACATTGTTTTGTAAAGTCTTGTAAAAGACGAACAGGCACCAGAGAAGACCCCTTCCCTCTTCACTGTTGATCTTCATTGATAGATTAACTTCCTTCTTTCTTCTCTCACACAAAGACCTCATGACTATCACACTGTCTAACATGGAACGTCAAATATACTCTTTGAAATTGGAGGGGGGCAAAGCTGTAACTAATCAAATTGCTGTAACTCATAAACCAGCCATGTATGGGAAACGTAGTCCTTCTACATTTCTTTGTTTTCTGCCTATATGGATAAGAATAAGACCTTAACTTTTCAGTTTTGGAGCACTGATCCCATTCCTTTGGATCCTATGTTTCCCAAATGGCTATCCTCAGCTTTGTGCTTGAATAAATAATTTTAAACTGGGTTCTGATATTTTTTATTATTTCAGATTGACAGTGACAATGTCACCAAGTTTGTGATGTGCAAGGAGCCAGGAAACATGGAGCAGGTGGCTCAGGCTTCTGGCAGTTTGTTTGCAGAAAGAAAAGAAGATGCAGGCCTGGCCCAAGGCCCTTCATCCCAGAAGGAAGCATCTGTAACTTACCCTCCAGGTCAGCTCTGCTCAGGCAATTCCAGAACCACCCTGATTTGTGTCCAAAAAGGACCTGTAAGTTTGCAGGAAATTGAGTTTTCTTGTGAAACACATATACGGGGTTTCTCAGCTTCGTCACTACTGACATTTGTGCTGGATAGTTCTTTGTGGTGGGGGCTGTCCCGTGCATTGCAGAATGTTGGGCAGCATCCCTGGCCTCTACCCTTAGATGCCAGAAGCATCTCAGCCCTCAGGGTGACAACCAAAAGCGTCTCCAGACAATGCCAACCTCAGCCCTAGCTGAGAAACCCCAGCCTGGCAAGACGATGCGCCAGAGCTTTGTGCATGCACGAGTGTGTGTGTGCTGTGCAATTGCTGCAGGGTCATGCTCAAGGCCATCTGGAAATTAATAGCCACAGAATAAAACCACCCGAATCATGAACATCTACCACAATAAATTGTCAAGGATCTGGCAGAGGTTAAACATGTCCAGTAAAAATTCATATCTCAAGAAGTTCTCCAGCCTACGTGCCAAGTGCAATGCTCGGAAACTCTTACTTTCATATGACGGGGGAAATATCTCACCCTTTCTCTTGTAAGGAATTCCTCAGCAAAGGAGTGTTTTCTGTAAAGGAGGAATCTTTAGACCTGGAGCTGGACATCTGGGGCAAAGGAGAGTGAGACCTGAAAGAGACAAGGAAGGAAACAGAATCACCAACACAGAAATAACAAATGTGTTCCCAGTACTTGGGCGCTAGATTCAAGAATGTGCCCAAGATTCAGTGATAAATCTTACAAGGAAATTTGCCTAAGGGTCTGCCTGAATTGTAAAAGGCTGAAGTTTTAGAAGACACCATAAAAAATACCTCTCCTCCCAAACTCAACTGAAAATGCACAGCAGAAACTCACACAGGAGACCAAATACTATGGGATGACACTTTTAGGCTCACTTTTGCATTAGCAGGAGATTCAGGCCACCTTTGCTATTTCATGCAGAGCTGCTCCTCAAGAAAAACATTCAGAGGGCGGGACACGGTGGCTCACGCCTGTAATCCCAGCACTTTGTGAAACTGAGGTGGGTGAATCACAAGGTCAGGAGTTCAAGACTAGCCTGGCCAATGTGGTGAAACCCCGCCTCTACTAAAAATACAAAAAAAAAAATTTAGCCAGGTGTAGTGGTGGACACCTGTAATACCAGCTACTCTGAAGGTGGAGGCAGAGAATTGCTTGAACGCGGGAGGCGGAGGTTGCAGTGAGCCGAGATCACACCACTGCACTCCAGCCTGAGCGACAGAGCGAGACTCCTTGTCAAAAAAAAAAAAAAAAAAATTCAGAGCCTCGTTGGCCCTTTTGTAGGCAGAAAATTCTATTTGCTAAAATAACAAGAAATTCACATTTAAAATATACTAATGGCTGCCACTGGAAGACCAATCAGCAGAAGTCAGGACCAAGGGGTTGGAATGAGACAACAACCAGAATGGCAAGGAGGAAGCTCTCCAAGGACAGCAGCCACAACTGAAGCAACGCAAAGGTTCGCACTGGGCAGGGTGGTCCTCCACCACACTCGCCTGCCTGCCATATGGAAGGACCACCATAAATGTATCATTCAAATCAGGAGCTTGTTGAACGGGAAGTAACTGCACAGCCACAACTAAGTCCATCGGCGTGTATGGTCACCCTCATTAAAGGACACTTGATGTTAAAAGACAACCAGCTTTCCATGAGAAGCTGCAGGAACAATTTTCACTCCTGATCACTGAGAATATGTCATTTTATATGCTGATGCATTGCCTTTCTTACAGGATCCCAGGCCAGGTAGAGATGCTGTAGATGCTATGAAACATTTACCCGGGCAAATAACAGTAATTCTTTCCGATCACAAATGCACAATGGAAGAAATTTTAAGAAAAATATTTTTGCTTGCTTCTTTCTCATTCAAGCATTCACCTGTGAGATAGACAGTAAGACTCCTGTGTGGATGAGTAAAACATGGGCCCCTGAGTTGTGTCTAACACCAGCACCATGTCTCTGGGAAGTCAGAAACGGAGTCTGTCTGGGGCCAGTGAGTAGCCGCTGGGCGTCATCTCTGGGCAGCACTGGGCCACTTCCCATGGAGAACACAGGTGACTGAGGACTCTCCTCAGAGGCTTAATGGCCAGTAGAGGTCAGCATGGCAGGAAAGAAAGTAGGTGCTTTAACTTTGACAAATGAAGGTAGAGAGATTTGGAAGAATCTCTCTGACCAAGAGATTTAATAATTAGCATACTTTTAGCTGCTCAAACTGGCTTACAGTTGAGATCCTCCCAACCCTGTTTCCCATAACTATAAATCTGTAACTGTAACCCCCTAGGTACATTTAGAAACTGTCATAGTGAGTGGACCAAACAACCAGATGTTTTCTGATGCTCCCTGGGGTGGTCTAGGAGAGCTGAGTGTTCCAGAGAAGGTGACCTTCCTCACATTATTTAACAACCCTGAGCTTCCATTTTCTCAGTCATGCAATGTAGATTAAAAGAAAACAAGGCCCAGCATGGTGGTTCAAACCTGTAATCCCAGCAAGGTGGGAGGATCGATTGAGGCCATGAGTTCAAGACCAGCCTGGGCAACATAGCAAGACCCCATCTCTATGGAAAGTAAAATAATAAAAAATTATCTGGGCGTAGTGGTGCACACTTGTAGTCCTAGCTACTTGGAAGACTGAGGCAGGAGAATCACTTGAGCCCAGGAGTTCATCGGTGCAGTGAGCTATGATGGAGCCACTGCACTCCAGCCTGGAAGAGACCCTCTCACTTTAAAAAGAAACAAAAACCCTTGGTTTTCTTACATTAACTAAGGAGATGTAAATGGAAAACATAAAGATAGATTGTGGATATTGGTTCACTGAGGTTCGTTAGACTGTGCATTCTTTAAGAATGGCTGCCATGTTTTCATCTTGTTTTATTTGGTACTGTAAGTGGCACCCAGTTCAAAGTAAGTTCTTAATAAATACTCAGTAATGAGCTGGGCACAGTGGCTCACACATGTAATCTCAGCACTTTGGGAGGTCAAGGCAGGTGGATTGCCTGAGCCTAGGAGTTCATGACAAGCCTAAGCAACATGGCAAAACCCTGTCTTTAAAAAAATTCAAAAATTAGCCAGGTGGTCGTGGTGCACGCCTGTAGTCCCAGCTACTGGGAAGGCTGGCGAAGGGGTGATTGCTTGAGCCTGAGAGGTCAAACCTGCAATAAGCTGAGATTGTGCTACTGCACTCCAGCCTAGGCAATAGACCAAGATCCTGTCACAAAAACACATACATACATACTTAATAATGAATGGGTTCAAACCTAGCAATCATAGCTTATTTGCATGAGATTGGCTTTTTAACTCAAGTCTCCTAAATCATTAAATCAATAATGTTTATAGACTCAATATTGACCCTCTGAAGAGAGGACAGTGCTCAGGAGGGTGGAGGCACTATCGCTCCTTGGAAAGCATGACCCACGGGGTCTCAAAAGAGCCCACAGCAGCACCACGTCGCACAGTGTGGAGGATTTACCTTCTTGCCACTAAGAAGGAAAATTAGAAATGGGGAAAAATCCAAAGTCCATTTTATCTTCTCTGTGGTGGCCATATCTGGCTGATTTTTATTACTGTTTAACATTTACATTTATGCATTTCATGTACACAAAGTATTTTATAATTGTAGTTAAGCATATAGGTAATCGTTTCTGAGCTTTTTATGTAATTATATTTCTAAAAATCCAAAAGTAAAATAAGTTTCACCAGGAAATTTCCTAAAGAGACTTTGGGCCATTCCAATGTAAACTTACCACCATCCAGATACCATTTTCAATGTTCCAAATCCATTCCTCTCTGCAAATAGGGGAAGCACCAAGGAGGCCCTGGGGCCCTGTTGCTTGATAGAATCCCTGGCCTGTGACCCAGAGAGCTCACAGATCACATGTAGAGAAGATTCAGGATTGCCCAAAAACATTTTCCAGAGGCTGAAAATAAAAATAGCAGTCCACAAAGCTGAAAGCCCAATTTTTCTCCTTTTGACTTCAATAAGGCAGAAAATATTGATGCGATCTATATTATTCCTGACTTTTCCTCTTCCAAAAAAATAAATCGCATTGACGTTTTTCTGACTTCACTCTAAGACTGGGCACTGTCTAGTTTTACTAATTTCCATGTTGTCTGATTTCCCCCATGTCTCAACAAACTCTGTATATACATTTACAAAATCCATATGTGTCTATACATTTATACTTATTTTAAAGGAAATTACAGAAGATACATAAAACAACTGCACCTGTACATAATTCTATAATTCAGAGATATCCAATGTTAACATTTAGAGAGTTTCCTTTCAATGTTTTTTTCCTACATATAAATGAATATTTTTAGGTCAGATTCATACATATGAGTGCAGAGACACACATTCATACATATACATATTCACATATGCAAATTGCTTTGTCCTCTAATCGTTCAGCTCAGCTATCTCATTAGCATTTCACAGCTTATCAAATATTAGCTATTCTTCTACAACGTGATTTTAATATCAGCCATCATATTCCATTACTTGGATCATCAAATTAAGCCTGACCATCTGTCTGTTGACGGAAATTTAGGGGATTTCTGGTTTTTTACCTGGATAAATAGCAAACACTATGTGAGTCCTGGTAGATAAGTCTTTGTGTGTGCCTTTAATTATTTCCTTAGAATAGATTCCTAGAAGTGAGGTCACTGGATCAAGACGTTTCTTGGTGCCCATGGTCCTCTTGCTGGAAGACAGCCTATCCCTGTTACTCCACGTCTCAGTTACAGGCAGGAGCAAATCCCGACCTCCACCAGTCCTGGGTATTAGCCATGTTTAAAATCCTCAAACAGTCAGTTTTAAGCAGCCAGAATTGATGGGTCTGAAGCAGATCCACCATTGCCAAGAACCCTTGCTACCACGATTATTAATGACAGGTTCATGCCAGACTGTGCGATGGCAACAGTTTCTTGCACACGCCTCTGCCTCTTCTGCCCTCTTCTTCAACAGGTTCCTCATCCCTAGACCCCTTAGTTCTTTCTAAATCAAAACACTTAACAGTCTTATGATGCTTATATCATCATATTGACCAAAAAAAGAGCTAAAAATGTTGAAAATATTGAATACCTAATATATGAACACTTTCAAGAGAATTTACATTTTTAAAGGCCAAAAAAAAGACAATGGTTAGTGCAAACGACAGTCTGGGGAGGTGGTGATTGGGGTACCTGGGATGGAGGAAGAGGTTTGCCCTCAGTCTTTTTTAGGCCCTGTGCCACATAGGCACCATTTATGCAGCCATTGCTGAAGTCAGTTCTGCTTGACAAGATGATACAGAGCCAATAACAGGGAATGCAAAATGCTTTCACTGCCTTAACCTGTGCATGACCAAATTCACATCCACAGACTCTCCAAGGGATGCTCTGCTCAAGTCATATGCAGGCTCTTTCCCAGGCACCAGTCAGGAAGACCACAGAGCAGGCAGCAAAGTCGAGAGCCAAGGGCTCAGGAGAGAGGGCAGGTGGCAGGTGGCAGATGGCATCAGCCATGCAGAGCCCTATGGAAGAGCTGCTGGGAGTGGGACCAGCCTGGGAGTGGGATCAAGAGAAATCAAAAGAGGGCCAGACTGGGAGTGGGACCAAAATAAATCAAGCAGAAGTCACAG